TTAGCTTTAACAGAAATTTTTCATGATGACCAAGAGCACGTCAGTTAGAGAGGTAATTTAACTGCAAGTGCCAAAAAGGAAAAAGTTATGCAAATAGTAATAACAACAACAACAACAACAACGCCACAATAAATAGCAGTAATACTTGGAAAGTCAAAGTGATAGAAAACTACTATGAACTAAAGACACCAACTAGTGTAGAAAGAGTGCTACCACAATATCAACAAAAATATAAACTTCTGTTTTTCCACCTTTTTAAGAAGTTATTCCTGAGATGTGTTCAAAAAAATAAAAATAAAAATATAGATTCTGTATAATATCACATTTTCAATCGAACATGCTACACAATTTATATGACAAAGAGCACCCTTTTCAGTAAAAAAAACAAAAAACAACAACAATAGAACATATGGAAATACAATGGGCACAGACCTAAACTGTGGAAGATGAATGGCAGTTTTGACTGGCAGTCAGCTTTAGGTTGAGCGCCACTCCAGGTCCGGGAGTCATGATCTGACTCCACATGTAATTTAAAGAAGGAAATAGGAACTGTGTATTTGCTACTTTGACTGGTCACAACGTCAGAGGTCAAAGATACTCACAGTGGTCAGCATTTTGTAAACATATTCACATCACCACAGAGCCTTTATCAGAACGCACAAAGAACAGGAAACCTCTCCCCTTCCAAAACAAGGTGTCACACACACAGCATAACACACAGTTTATTCTTTCCAATGATGCTTCCAAAAATATCAATAAGTTTCATACACATTGCAACACAGTTTTACTTGGGGCATGTTGTTGCTTGTCTGCACACTCAAATGACCCATTCACTCCAAGCACCAATAAGTTTAGACTCTGTTATACTGAGTGCAGAGGCAGCAATTTCATAATGTTGTAAACCTGCTCAACATTTGGCAATAAAACCCTTTCTGATTCTGATTTACTGTATAGCACTTTGGTCCTGTGCTGGGTATTTTAAAGTGCTTTATAAATAAAGATGGTTTGGATTGGATAAAATTAAATACATCTTGTTCTCTTAGACTTTATTATTGTGATCCAGTGGAACTCTTTTCCTGCTCCCTGTTATGGATCTCTGTGACTACAATAAAATTCCCTCCATCCATCACTGAACTGCACTGAAGTAAAACGTCATCCTAAACACTGCAGTACACCAAAGGACACCACTAATAAACACTGATTACACTCTGTTCTTCTTGCAGCAACAATTTTTTCTGCAGGTAACAATTTCCCATGTCACCCACAGCTGCAACTCAGCAGTAAGAATGTATTTGTCTCTATTCAAATGATGATTCAGTGAATTTGAATTATCCTGCAGCAGAAGAATGACCCCAAGCATACAGTCAAAGTCATTAAGAACTATCTTCAGTGTAGAGAAGAACAAGAAGTACTGGAAGTGATAGTACAGCCCACCACAGAACCCTGAACATCATTGAGTGTGTCTGGGTTTACATGAAGAGAGAGAAGGATGTGAGGAAGCTGGTAGGAACAACCTACCTTGAAAAACTGTGTGCAAGTGCACCTAGAAGAATTGATGCTGTTGAATTGAGGCAAAAGGTGTTTACACCACTTATTGATTTATCTTTTGTTCATTCACTGCACTTTGTTGATTGATGAAAATATGGTGACTTTCAGCTCGCAGGGCTCAAATAAGAGAACCAATCAGTCATATTTGTAGGTTATTGTTACGCCCCAGTCTAGGGGTACAGAAACATAACATAAGGGTTGGAAAGGAAGTGACCCCACCCTGGTTCCAAAAACCATAGTCAGAAGCCAATCTTTGAAGTGAGCGGTGGTTCATTTGTATCTACACTGAAAAACGTTACTCTGGGATGAACAAAGCCCGAAATAACAAGCCCCCCCCCCAAAAAAAGCAACAACAACAAAAAAAAAACAAGCTAAGTCAGGAAAGGAGGTGCTGTCTAAACCCTATGTGAAACATAAACCAAACAAAGGACACATGCTACACCTAACTCCCTAACTGAAATAAACAGGAGAATATTAAGGCAGCTCTCCTCTTCTGCTTCAGTGCTTATTTACAGTTTACTATTTACAAGTGAAAATGTGTCTACATACTATGTCCAAAGCTCTGTAGGTCTTAAGGATCACACACACGAATGTCACAAAGTTTGGAGGCCAAGGATGGGTCTGCTGCTGCTGTCACCTGCTGCCGCCAACAACTGCTGGTGAGGGATGTTTTAAAAACAGCCACATGATGAGGGGACCAATAACCCACCGCCAGCTCTCCTATCAGGAAGGACCTGTAGATACTTAAAGACATAGCACAGAAACAAACTCTAGACGGCCAGGGCCGTAACAGCTATTGCCAATAACCTTCAACTATTAAAATACATTTTGCTAAAGTGACTTTAATGTCCCCTGTATTAGATCAAAATAAGAGAAAACAGATAACCACTGTTGTGATACCCTTTATCTCTCACCTGGGTTTGTTGGTTTTGTCAAGTCAATTAATACAAAGAAGGACTGGCTTTGTTGAGCTGCCTCAGTTAAATCACTAACACGGGTACACACTTAGCCTGTATTTTTGTAGGAACATTACATTCTGGCAACTTAAGCTCACCATCTGTAAACTTAACATGTGAAGCTCAAGATTACAGAAAACAAACTGAAGCAAAATTAAGAGAAACTCTATATTTGTTTCTTTATCAGTACCTGTGAGAAGACTGTTCATACTGTGTTGTTCTCTCTGCAAAGTTTTCTATCAGTAAATCTCAGAGAGACAAAGTAAACATTTACCGTCAGGTCCCAAGCTACTGCTAAAGATACTGTTACTGTGCCACGTGCATATCTTTGGAAATAATGAATTAGGTGGCACAATCTGAGAATTAAAATCAGTTAATTAACTAAAAAGATAGAAAACAAGTAGAAAACCAAATTGAAAGGAAATATGTGTCGGTGTGTCTCCTCCTGTGATAAAGCTCCATATGTACCACTGAAAACAGTTAAATTAGTTTGAATCAGAAATCAGGGCTCAAACTACTTGTTCTGAGACCATTTCTTCATTTTTCACACCAAACTGTTTGTAGCTGTCGCATTGAAATGTAATTATTATGTAATTGCAATGTTCAACATTTGGTGTTTAATCTGGATTCATGTTGTGTTGTCGCCACCTACTGGTGGGCCTGAGTGTGACGCTTTGTGGTGTGCGTGCTTTGGGGTGATGCTCAGTTAAGCGCACATGTCACCAGAGACTGAAGGCTCGAGCCAGAAAGAGAATGCTGGCTTGTGTAAAAGGTGGAAATATTGAAGATTTGGACTACAATTGCTCATGGATGTTCAGTAGAAAGGCGCAAACAGTGTGTTGGTGCGTTTACTTTGTGTGCATGTTTTATTTGAGTTGTAATTTTTGTTCTCCTGATGTAATATCCGTGTTTTTCATTGATCATTTCACTATAGTTTTTCACGGTGTTTGCTGGTGAAAAGAAGATTAAAATACTGGCTGAACATCAGTTGGAGCATGGCCCTTCATTCTACTTCGAACATGAAAAACCTTCAGGAGCAGTTACACTGTTTAATAAGACAAACGTTACAGAGTTCATCAAATATAACTAACGCTTTAACATTATCAGGATTTCATAATACAAACTCCAACAGGAATACAGCTGCAGAACATGTGGATCAAAATGAATTCATTAAAAAGCAACATGTGGACTTCAAGGATACAGTAAATACACTAAAGTGAAAGGAGGAGCCAAAAATGTGAAGGAATTTGAATTAAGTAAAAGTAGTCACCTGTGATCTTGAAAATGGTCTTGATGTGTGCTGCTGTTTTTAACTTTTAACACTTCTTTGCTGCCACTGTGAATACGAATGTGGTCTTTGCCTAATTAAATAAATGTTACACTGACTCACTGCTTCATGTTCTGGTACAAACTGGCATTATATGAAAGTACAGCCCAAAACCAGTTCAGCTTGAGTTTCTTTTTTCTGGACATAAAGTCACAGCAGGTGTTGTTTCAAAGCTGGTGGACAGATTTAGTTCATTTTGGAGGTTTTAAGAGCAACTGCTGTGAAAATATTTGTAGTTTTGGAAGAAAATGATTTATGATGAATGAAGGATTGAAATTTAACTTAGGTAACACATAAAATGAATACAACTACTAAACACTACTGTGTCCTAAGGAAACAAAGATTAAAATGTAACAGGGATAACATTTTAGAGAATTAAAATCCCTCAAAGGAAAAATAATAAACTTGATATGCATATCTATACATGCAGCTTCCTAAATGTAACATTCAGGATTATTCACTGCAGGTCCAGAAATCAGAGCTCCCTCATCAGATCCTAGTGTGGCATCAGCTGACACTCTTTACAGGAGATTCCATCTGAACTCTGTGGAGCCTGATCTCAAGGTTTTTAAGTCTGAGCCTGAAACCAGAAGAGGATCTTTCTCTCTCTTCAGATTCATTGTGATCCAGTGTTAAGAAATATACTCTAAAACACTTCTTCAGTAAAGACTCAGAGAAGAAAAACACACAGAACTTCTTGCTAGCAAGGGCAGTCTCCAGAACAGACTCGCACTGAGAAACTGCCCTGGTCTTTATTTATACTTCAGGGAGCGTTTGTTCCTTACATTGGAATGTGGAGGTGTGTGTGTGTGTGTGTGGGGGGGGGGGGGGGGGGGGGGTTCAGAGTGTGGCCCCATAAACGACTTCCCTTAACCTGCTGGTCTGGAAAATCCAACAGTTCATCTATATGTAAAAAAGCATTTAAACTGACATAGCTACGTTAATCCTACCGTAAAACAATAAGACAAGGTACGACCTCTCTCATGCTCCTAGGATGTGGGGGGTGAACACCCTAGAATGTTACAGACCTCCTAGGATGAGACATTCTTTCAATATGCCACCAACTATATACTTCTACACACAAATGATTACATGCAGCATTCTACCATATGCAAACTTATATCATTGAAAGACTATACTGACTACTAAGCACAATTTTCCTATTAACATCCAGTGATTTCAGTCCTGCATGATCAGGCTGATGTTTGCACAGAGCAGATAATGAAGTGAATGTTTTTGCACATTGGTAACAGTGAAACAGTTTATTTACAGCGTGGGATCGTTTGTGTTCGGAGTATGAACTGAGATTCCTGAAACTCTTGTCACACTTGTCACAGCTGAAGTTCACTTCCATGTGTGTACGTTCATCTTTGTTACCTGATTGTGACCAGCTTTTGTCACAGTGTCTGCACTTGTATGGTGTCTCTCCTGTGTGGATTCCCTTATGCTTTTTCATTGAGCTCATGTCCAGTGGTGAAGGATGACCCACACTGGTCACAGATGTGCTTTTTGACCCCACTGTGGAAGAGTTCATGTATTTTAATGTACTTGGTGTGTGGAAGCCTCTCCCACATTCTTTGCAGTAGTTCATTTTGTCTCCAGTGTGTCTACGTTGATGTGGTTTTTGGTCCCGTTGATGATTGGAAGTTTTTCCACAAAGATCACAGAGAAACTCTTTCCCACCACCACAGTGACGACAGGGTTGAGAAATGGATCCATGTGCGTCGCTCCACTTCTAAACAAAGACATTGTAAGTCAGGGAATTCCTTCAACGTTTTTATCCTGAACGTTGCCTGAAATAAAAAGCATCTCTGCCAAAGTCCAATTACATTTTACTGTTTACATTACAACACTCAGCTTACTGAGAGAAAATGAGTCTTCATTTTTCCAAAGAGTTCATTCAGTATAACTCCATAAATTTACTGATCAGACTTGTTCCAAACAATCAGGTTAAAATTACAAGATAAAAAACTACACTCAACAAAAATATAAATGCAACACCTTTGTTTCTGCTCCGATTTGACATGGGATGGACATAAAGACCTAAAAGTCACTCAGATACACAATATTACCATCTTCATCTTTGTTACTATGACCTGATTGTGACCAGCTTTTGTCACAGTGTCTGCACTTGTATGGTGTCTCTCCTGTGTGGATTCCCTTATGACTGCTCTCTGGGGGGGGTTAAGTGTTAAATCCACTGTGAATGATTTGGTGTCTTTTTAAGTTTCCAGCCTTGGTAAAAGCCTTTCCACACAACTCACAGCTGTAAGGTTTAACTCCAATGTGGATGACTTGGTGTGTTCTTAAGGTTTGTGCCAGGGTAAAAGACTTTCCACACAAGTCACAGCTATAAGGTTTAAATCCACTGTGGATGATTTGGTGTCTTTTTAAGTCTCCAGCCTGGGTAAAAGACTTTCCACACAAGTCACAGCTATAAGGTTTAAATCCACTGTGGATGATTTGGTGTCTTTTTAAGTCTCCAGCCTGGGTAAAAGACTTTCCACACAAGTCACAGCTGTAAGGTTTAACTCCACTGTGGATGAGTTGGTGAGTTTTTAAGCCCCCAGCCTGGGTAAAAGACTTTCCACACAACTCACAGCTGTAAGGTTTAACTCCACTGTGGATGACTTGGTGAGTTTTTAAGCCCCCAGCCTGGGTAAAAGACTTTCCACAAAACTCACAGCTGTAAGGTTTAAATCCACTGTGGATGAGTTGGTGTGTTTCTAAGTGTCCAGCCAAGGTAAAAGACTTTCCACACAACTCACAGCTGTAAGGTTTAACTCCACTGTGGATGATTTGGTGTCTTTTTAAGTCTCCAGCCTGTGTAAAAGACTTTCCACACAAGTCACAACTGTACGCTTTAACTCCACTGTGGATGAGTTGGTGAGTTTTTAAGCCCCCAGCCTGGGTAAAAGACTTTCCACACAAGTCACAGCTGTAAGGTTTAACTCCACTGTGGATGAGTTGGTGAGTTTTTAAGCCCCCAGCCTGGGTAAAAGACTTTCCACAAAACTCACAGCTGTAAGGTTTAAATCCACTGTGGATGAGTTGGTGTGTTTTTAAGTGTCCAGCCAAGGTAAAAGACTTTCCACAAAACTCACAGCTGTAAGGTTTAACTCCACTGTGAGTGAGTTGGTGTGTTTTTAAGGTTTGAGCCAGTGTAAAAGACTTTCCACACAAGTCACAACTGTACGCTTTAACTCCACTGTGGATGATTTGGTGTTGTTTTAAGTGTCCAGCCAGGGTAAATTCCTTCCCACACTCATCACAGCTGTAGGTTTTCTCTCCCTTTCTTCTGTGAGGTTTGTCAGCCTCCTGAGAGCGCTGACTTCTCGCTCCATGTTGGTCCTGCAGTGACAGAGATACAAACACAGGCAGTGAGTGAAATGCAGTCGTGGAACAAACTGAAATTGGTGGAATCAGACATGTCAAAAAAACACATTGTTGGTGTGTTACCACCACCTTCTGGTGATAGTATCACATTACAATGATGTCCTACAATGAGAGTTGTACAAAATGACAATATTGAAGAAATATTGATCATCAAAGAATCTATATAACTTCAGAAATTTTTTTCAGTTCAACTGATGATATTGTTGTTTCAATGTGTGTAGAGAAAATAAGATCTTTGTATTTTTTTGCAACTTCTGTGGTTTTTGGTTGTGAATGTAGATTCTTTATATATGGAGGAGCCCAGGATGGAAAAGATAAAGCTGCTGTTAACAGGTTTTTAAAAACCGACCAGCTGTACACACAGTTTCAATAACAGTGTAACTATGATGTTCTTCTCACCTTTTGTGTTGAAGACATTGTTTCCTCTGTAGTGGCTGAGCTGAGTCCAAATGGCTGAAATTGTTCCTCTGCTGCACCACCAGACTCTTCTCCTCCTGTTACTCAGCTGGGACACAAAAAGTATATATATGTGTATTTTATCCCTGACAAAAAGAAGCAGATCAAATAAACATGACTAAACTCCTCAGTGACAACAATACCTTTGAAGCTTCAAGGTGAAACCCCAGAAGCAACTACAAAAAGAAAGTCATCAGTTGCCTACAAGAACTTGAAAGGGAAAAACCACTGACCCCCCTGCAGATCACCACCTTTACCCAGGGGATGCTACACCCTGTATATATGGACTTCCATAGATCCACAAAGACGGAGTCCTGATCAGTCTTAATGGTAGCAGTATAAACTCAGCCACCTACAACATTTCAAGCACCTCATTACCATCCTAGCTCCCCTAGGATGGTAATGGTTGAAATGTAATGAGGTTTTTAAAAAACATTTCGAAACTCACTTTGTTAATGTGGAATTCTAAAATTATTTTACAAATGGAGAATTTATTTATTTATCAAAATTTATCAAAATTATTATTTTGATTTACTCATGAAAGTGGCCACTTTCATGAGTAAATCATATAAGTTTTTACTATTTCTTTTCCATATGGGTTGTATCTGCTTGACGCATGAGGGGGCATCATAAATAATACCGTGATGCTATAAAAACAACTGCTTGTGTATTATTGGGCGGAGATTGACGCTGAGTGTGTGACAGTGTTCATCCCCCCACACGTGTGTTTATTAAAATCATCGTTTGTCCCAACCCTCCTGGACAAGTGTTGTGATTTTGAATCCCTCCTGTATTCCTCCTCAATATTTGAACGCTTAACAGTGTCCACGTCACACAGCTCCATGGATTTTGGATTATCTTCTCTGCTCAAGGGGAGGAGGTGGAGAAAGAATCTATTCGGGTCCAGCTATGTCGGATTATTGCTGCCAACCTGTTTTTTGTGGAGCGCTTATCGGAGCAGCACAAAGACTTTTTTTGGCTACAACTGGAGGAGTTTCCCATTCACTGCCAAAGCAGCAAGTCCCTCAGCATGCAGACTGGATCACTCCAGCCCCTGTGTGACGCAGCTCTCCCTACACCAGATACAGGAATTAAAGTTGGCGTGTTGAGCCTCCCGCCTGTCTCCAGGTCCATGTCGATGCAGCAGCAGACAAGTGCTGCATTTTCCTGGACACAACCAGTGGCTGCTTCTAGCACCACATTCACCTCAGCCATGGCAGCGCCAGCTTCCACAACCGTGGCTTCCAGGAGGAGGCGGTGTCCACGTCATCACCCCGGCTTACAGCAGCATGAGGTGGGTGACTGTGTTCCGCGTGTTTTTTCTAAGGAGGAAGCTAAAATCAACACAGATTTGCTAGTTCATTGGCCCGGTTATGAAGAGACTGTTCATGTTCATGAAAGGACTAAGACTGACAAGTTACTGCCCAAGTCTTCCACAGAACATCTTATCGCTTTGCACAATTATCTAGCATCTCTGTGTATTGATCATGCCACGACCCATGCTTCTAAGAAGTCAGGCTTCGAGACTGTTTTCACTGGAGATGCTAGCCGTGAGGCTCAGCAAAGCCCCTGTGGGACTGAGACCCAGGCCAGGTTGGATCCAGAGGCTGATTTGGAGGACTAACTTTGCTCCGGACCTCCCGAAGAGCCTGTTTCTGCTTCCATGGGGGTCACTGAGCAGTTTGTGTAGACTCTTCTAGTGTCTGCTGGGGGTTCAGGCGAACCACCCCAGCACTCCACAGCTCCCGCTCCGCCATCAGTTCCTGCTGAGTGCTCTGGAGAGCCCGCCCTGCCGTCTGTGGTTGCTATGCCGTCACCTGCCATGCCTCAGCCAGAGGTTTTCGCACCTGCTCGCCCTGCCACGCCAGCTGGATGTTCAGCCGAGCCCATCCAGCATCCTGCCATTGTAGCAGATGTGAAATGGTCGACTGCGTTGTGACAACAGACACGGACTGGCTGGAAACAGGGTTTATTCCTATAAAACAGAGTGCAGCAGCAAAATCAGTGTCACACAGCGGCAGCAGGCTTCTCCTCACCCAGTGTGGAGTCCGTACAGCTCTGCTTGCATCATATAAAAGAAAATACAACTTATCAAAATAATAATTTTCACAACCGCCACTTCAAAATCAAATATTACAGTGGGGTAAAACAGAGACAATTATGGAATCACTAACAATAACGTATAACATTCAAATTCCCATTAAAATAGGTCAATTGCATAATACATATTCAAACAACTTTTTAACTCTTCCCAACATGGCTGAAGATACTGCTCAGAGCACAGCCTCGGGACATGAGCTCATTATACACATAAAACAAAAACTACACATTTACACATACCTATAAAACAGAGTGCAGCAGCAAAATCAGTGTCACACAGCGGCAGCAGGCTTCTCCTCACCCTGTTTAACACAAGTCAGTTCCACACAAACGGATGATACAACAGATAAAGCGCAGTTCCAAATATCATTTTTCTCACTCAAAGCGATTGAAAACACTTTGAGAGCTTTTAACCCTAGGAGCCAATACTTAACAAAGACAAATACACCGAATTTTTATGGATAATTTAGTACAGGGAGAAGAGCTACAGAAAGCGTGCCTCACCAGTGTGGAGTCCGTACAGCTCTGGCTAGGAAACCCCACACCCGCAATGTGGCCGCAGGTGGCGTTACACTGATTAATGTCCCACTTCAACAATAACACACGGAACCTTAGTTCCACAAAAATAAAGTTCACACAATAAAAAAGTATAACCTATGTACAATACAGTTTTGAGAATGTTCACAATTCGTACATTATATCTCAGCTACACCATGACAGCTAGAGGTTCAGCTGAGCCCGTCCAGCATCCCGCAGCTTCCACGTCTGGTTCTGTCTTGTTACTGATCAAAAAATCGTAAAGTGAGCTTCTCCACATTACAGTGGGCACTGGAGAACATCATCTATGTGGGACACGATTAGATAGTAAGTCCTAAGTCCCTTGTCTAAAAGGATTCAGCAAGGTAATCCATTCTAAATTCTTCTTGATGCATGCTCAATCATTCAGGTAAGTAAATCTCGAAAAGTTGATTCTGTTCATCTGGACGTAGCGTTTTCAGTGGGAGAAACGTTTCGTCACTCATCCAAGTGACTTCTTCAGTCTCAGCTGACTGCAGGTTTCCCCAATCTTATAAACAGTAACTAGAACCACTGAAGGAACAATGGGCTGGTAGGTCAGTTCCTTCATCATAATTATGTAAATTCTCATGACCACTGATCAATGGCCATGAGTACCATTCACAGAGAGTTGGAGAATGGCTGCAATCACAGCATTGTAAGATGGCAAAAGATGTCCCCTTAGTCCCCCTCCGCGATTCAGGGATGGTCTTTCCCTTCTCATGTAGATGGCCTCATTGACGCCACGCTCAAACTGGCGTTCCTCCCTGTCCAGGATGTGTACATCCTCATCAGTGAAAGAGTGTCCACTGGCCTGTAGGTGTTGTGGAGGCAGATTTTTCTTCTCATGTATTAATCACATATTTAATCATATCACATTAGTTATAGAAATATCACTCTCACTTTACTATAGTAAGAGCACTGAGCTCAGCAGTACAGCCGGGATCCAGGTTTTGATTGCATGATTTTTTTTTCCTCTTTCAGAAATATGGAACAGAAAACATGGAGTATGAAGTGTGTAGAAACTGAGGAATGCAGTAAAGAGAAGTGTGTTTGTGTGTGTCTGTAAGAAGTGATGGAAAGAGATGTGTTAAAATGTGGATAGAAGAATAAGAGAGGGAAAGTGTTATTGAGCAGTGATGAAAATGATATTATAAGTGTCTCAGTCTGTTATTACAGGTGACTACGGAACTGGATCAATGTCCACCACGGCACAGCAGCCAGAACAAAATATATATTAACAATGCTTGGTGCATGAACTCCACTACTACTGAGAGTCACTGCTCACCTAATGCAGAGTTTTTAATGGTCAAATGCAGACCTTATTATCTCCCCAGAGAACTCACTTCGATCATACTCACTGCCGTGTATATCCCCCCCGACGCTAATGCTAGGTTGGCCATGAAAGAACTTTCTGCAGCCATTAACAAACACCAGAATAAACACCCCAAGGCTGCTTTTATTGTTGCTGGCGACTTCAACCACACCAACTTAAAGACAGTCCTCCCCAGATTCCACCAACATGTCTCCTGCCACACCAGAGGAGACAAGACTTTAGACCATGTGTATTCCAACCTGGCTGGAGCCTACAAAGCCACACCCCTCCCCCACATTGGACAATCGGACCATCTCTCCTTGTTCCTCACACCTAGGTATTCACCACTCATCCAACGTGTGAAACCTGCTGTGAGGACAATTAAAGTGTGGCCAGAGGGGACAGAGGCAGTGCTCCAGGACAGATTTAAAAACACAGACTGGAATATGTTCACCCACACAGACCTGGACCAGTACGCCTCATCTGTACTGGATTACATCTCCGAAACCACAGTGTCACCACCCAGAAACGGATCACCATGTACCCCAAGCCTTGGATGAACCGGGATGTTCGTCTCCTCCTGAAGGCCCGCAACCCCGCCTTTAGGTCAGGAGATGCACACGCCTACAGCACAGCCAGGGCTAATCTAAAGAAGGGCATCAAAAAAGCCAAACACCATTACAAAAAGAAGGTAGAAGAACACTTCTCCAACTCCAACCCCCGACGCATGTGGCAAGGACTCCAGACGATTACAGACTACAGGACCACCAAACCCTCCCCCGCATCCTCTGATGTCTCCTTTCTCAACGAATTCAACAACTTTTATGCTCGTTTTGAGCGAGGGAACCCCACAACCACAACCAAAGCAGACATGACGCCAGACCACCAACCTCTGACTCTCTCCCCCACCGATGTAGGAGCGGTGCTGAGCAGGATCAATGTCCACAAGGCTGCAGGTCCTGATGACATCCCCGGGCGTGTTCTCAGAGCGTGTTCTGGGGAGCTTGCAGGAGTGCTCACACACATATTCAATCTGTCCTTGGCCCACGCTGTGGTACCGGCCTGCTTCAAATCCACCTCCATCGTCCCGATACCCAAAAACTCCAACCCATCTTGCCTCAATGACTAGTAGCACTCACCCCCATCATCACTAAGTGCTTAGAGCAGCTGGTCCTAGCACACTTCAAATTCTGTCTCCCCCACACCCTGGACCACCACCAATTCGCATACCGCCAGAACAGGAGCACAGAGGATGCAGTCTCCATCGCACTGCACTCTGTCCTCTCACACCTGGACAACAACAACACCTACGCCAGAATGCTGTTTATAGACTTCAGTTCAGCATTCAATACAATCCACCCCTCACAACTCATCAGGAAACTGACAGATATGGGCATCAGTTCCCTCATCTGCAAATGGTTACTGGACTTCCTGACCAACCGCCCCCAACATGTCCGGCTGGATAACCACTGCTCATCTACCATCACAATGACCACAAGGCTTTGTGATGAGCCCTTTCTCACCTGGACGACCAACTGCTCCAAGCTGGTCAAGAAGGCTCACCAGCGCCTCTTCTTCTTGAGGACTCTGAGGAAGAACCACCTGTCCTCAGTAGGGATGGGTATCGAAAACCGGTTCTTGTTGAGAACCGGTTCCCACTGTTTCAATTCCTTGGAATCGTTTGCCATTTTTGCAAACGATTCCCTTATCGATTCCAGTCGCCCCGAATGACGTCACCACGTTGCGGAGCGTCATTTACCTGGCAGGAAACACAACGCCTAAGCGGCTCAAACGCTCAAAAGTTTGATTATACTTTATGAGAACCGATGACAACAGGGCAACTTGCAAAGTAGATATTTCATTTAAGGGAGGAAACACTATGAATATGCAAAAGCATTTGCTCACAAAACACGCGATGACACGCGTTTTTAATTCCGCTCCGGACTCGTGAATCTCAACCCAGCAGCAGCGCTAACGTTTGCACGTCCTCTCCCGTTAATGTGGCAGGTAAATAATCAACTAACAGTGCATATTATGTTAGCGCAATCTGCCTTATTACAAGACCTGCCATTACTGTACATGTAGGTGACCATGATGAGAGAGACAGACAGAGTCTGGCTGGCGCTCGCTGGCAGTTCTCGCTGCAGTCTGCCGGTAGCGTCTCCTTTCAGGCCAGGATAGACGAATGTCACCGAGCAGTGACTAAGTTTGTGGTCAAAGGCTTGAACCCATTTGCCACAGCAGATGCCCCGATTTTAGGTAAGTGAATGTGTTTAATTGTAGGCAGGGACATTACTGGATATTCTTGTGTAATTGCCACAGAACAATTTATGTTATACTTTGTTATTGCTACAGAAGAATATTTATTTTATTATTTTACATTTACAATTTTTTTCCTTGGGGACCCTGTGACACCCCATTGAAGAGCCGTAGGCTGGATCTCTTAAGATCTCACTGTTGGGTTTGTAAGGCCATGTTACTCCTAAATTTCTATCTTGTTCAAAGAGAAGATATAAAACAAAGTTCTAAGTGTTCTCCTTTTAAAAAAAAAAAAAAAAAAAGAATCGATAAGAGAATCGATAAAGAATCGAATCGTTAAACAGAATCGAAAATGGAATCGGAATCGTTAAAATCTTATCAATACCCATCCCTAGTCCTCAGACATCCTGGTGAACTTCTATCGTTGCACCATCGAGAGCATCCTGACCAACTGTATAACAGTCTGGTACGGGAACTGCTCTGCCTCGGACCGGAAGGCGTTGCAGAGGGTCGTGAAAACTGCCCAGCGCACCGCCGGAGCACCACTTCCTGCCATAAAAGACATCTACAGGAAGCGGTGTCTGAAAAGGGCTGGGAAAATCATCAAAGACCCCAGTCACCCATCACATGGACTCTTCACCCTCCTGCCCTCTGGGAGGCGCCACAGGAGCCTCCGGACTAAGACCACCAGATACCGGAACAGCTTCTTCCCCACAGCTGTCAGACCCCTGAACTCTGCCTCCTGACATCTGACCCACGTTAAACTCATGGACTGAACATACACACCCCCACAATGGACAACTGTACCCTCAAACACACAATAATAACATGGACTGAACCACCACTCACAACCACTAGCACTTTATATAGCCTCTGTAGAAACTATCTACACCCTCACTTATCTTAACTGCACTACTGTATAGCTCTGTGTAAATAATCATTCTGTACATTCAATAATCTTTAATCCTACAACTGTTTACAACTTGCACAGTTCCCATTTCTGTATAGCTGTATATCTCAGATTTCTGTAAAGTTATTTATTTCATATTCTGTATAGTTTTTCATATTTATATCCTGTTCATAGCCTGTACATAGCTTGTACTCACTACAGCCTGTACATACTTAGTTATAGAATATTCACAACATACTTCATAATGTGTACATTATAACATACCACAATAGACCCATTTCTGTAATATACTTACATATCTATACTATTGCTAATATATATTGTAATATACCTATATCACTAAAGCACTTCTGGATGGATGCAAACTGCATTTCGTTGCCCTGTACCTGTGCATGTGCAATGACAATAAAGTTGAATTCTATTCTATTCTATTCTAAAATGATAGATTAACATAATTGGAACCACACCGAGCCTGTGTTTTGGTTGAATATTATTCAGCTTCATCCCCATGTATATCTTACACTAAAGAACAAGCTTCGAGGACAATCAATGTATCCCAGAAGACAAATGCAGTTCGAGAGCAAAGGTGTCGGTTTCAAGAGTCAACAAGGTGAACAGACAGCAGCACTGCCCTAAATCTTAAACCTTAAAGTGTTCAGCAGCACGTACAAATGTCATCGTAGACGGGAGCGTACGCTCCCAATCACAAGCCGAGAGGTTCACCAAATTCAAATCAAATTCAAATTTTATTTGTCACATACACAGTCATACACGGTACGATATGCAGTGAAATGCTTAGACAACTGCTCGTAACCTAAAGAAAAAAAGACTATGAAGACTTTTCCAGCTTTGTGTGTCTGTTAAAATGCTTTTTACAAATCCTGCTGGAATATGTCTGGTTACATCTGCAGTCAAAGTAAGAT